ACCTTGGGCCAGTCGCTCTCTCTCAACCCTAGGTAAGGGCAAATCATTTCAGGAAATCTTGCTAAGAAAACTGGAGGGACTAGTCCATGCAGTCACCAAGGCGCACACAGACACAAAAGACATAGTGTAATGCAAATAAGATGTTAGATTTTGCTGGTTTTCTACTTGTATAGAAAATATATGAAAATGTCCCTATATGTAACTTGGTGGTAACAGGTCTGATTTTGGAACTGTATGTGTGAACATAGTTTGCTTATTTTTCCAGAGTTTGGATTTATTTGTTTATTTGCAGATTTGTTTCCAATAGTGTATCTCTTCATGAAATGTGCTTAGAAACCTCCTGTGGACGTTAACAAATAAAATTGTTTTGGAAGAGTATAGAGATCCATCCAAAATTGAAAACAATTTTATGGTGCTTATATAGAAAGCTTTTGAAGGTAAACGAAGATTGCTAAAACTAATAAAAATGTGCTAATGGGAGACTCTTGGGCATTTTATAATAAATATAGTATTCTTGACTGACGGATGAACAGCAGCGTATTTCTTTATTCTATAGCAACAAACTCTGGATGTCTATTACTGCCTCCCTGAAAGTAATTCCTAAGAGTCAGCTGTATAGATATATGCCTCTCTTTTAGTATTATTTAGTTAAGATATTTGATAGAAGTGAGAAAAATCCTATTGTCACCTGCAAATGACCCTAGGGATTTTCATAAATTCAAGCATTTCCACCATGGCCCTCCCTTATAAATATCTACTGGCTTTAGCTACATTTGAAAAATGTCAAGTGTGATGTCAGCTTGCTTGTCTTTAATGAAAAACCTGATTGATGGGGCATTCTCCTTAACCTTAGATTGCTTAGCCTTGCCTGCCTCTTTCCCAGAATTGAAGGCTATGGAATAATAGAAAACAAAGCTAGGCCAAGGTTTTCAGAAGCAGGTAGCAAAAGATGTATCTTTTAGCCTCTGTTGTGCCTACAAATAATTCCCCACACTGAACAGCATTCCTGGTCACTGGGCTGTCTCTCAATACATTAATAATACCTATCATAAGATTTTAGATATACTCAAAACAATTTATTTCCCACTGGGGCTCTTATCTAAACAAAATCAGTCTTCATGTCTTTATTTTGTCAGGATTCTGTTGCAGCCAATCTGATAGGTATTATCCACAGCTTGCTGTGTGTCAACTGGAGGCAAGCATAAGAAGAATGTATGGAATTAAGAATGCTTCCCATCACAGCAACTTTTGCTGTGCTTCCCGAAAAGTTTGTGTTTATAACACAGAAAGGGAAATAGGCTATGTTCAGATTCTTCTCCCCTCTCCTCTCCTGCCCCTGACAGTGGTTTTGTGATGCCCAGGAATTAAGTGTCAGATGAGACGTTTTGCT